AAGCATCCCAAGTTTGTGGGCGAGAAAAATACATTTGACTTTCTGGCTGAGCCGAAAACTGTTCATTTGGAAATCCGTCACTGCTCTTTCTGCAAGAAATTGAGAATTCTTGAAGAACTCAACGAACGTCTTCAGTGGCTCTTCTTTGCTGACAATAAGCTCTACGATGTGTTGCACCCAATGCGAGCCAGATCTCGGAGAGGTAACCTGCGTGTGCGAATGGATAGATTGTTTAGAGTGGAGTCACTAGTATAAAGGTTTTAATCAGAGTATAATTTCACAGGTTTGCGATAACGCAAAGTTTAAGCGCGAAGCTACCTCGTGAACAACATAAGCTGAGACACCTGAGCCGGACGTTTTATGCTTCTGCGGTATTCAAAATCTCTATTATCTCTCAATCTGTCTAATAGTCCGAAGTATGGCAGTATCTCCTCTTCGCATTTTATTTTTAGTTCAGAACATTATTGCAAAAAAAAAACTGGCAGGTGTGTAGAAAAAGCATGAAGGACTTTTGCAACTCATAGTATTAGCAACAGTACACCTTCAGTGAGTTTCAATGCCTATGGAGTAGTCATATTCATATTGCACTGCAATACAGACCTCCAGAACATGGGCCATTTCCTTCAGGCAGCAATCATGCCCAACTTTCTTGGACACGAACGCATTGGCGCATGCACTAAAATTAGAATGTCATCTGAATGACAACAAACATTGCAATTTTCCTCTGGAATATTTTAGAAGGAAAGTACAATGTCAGTCAGCATAAATTGAACGTTTGGACGCGAGCAATTTTTATTCCATGACGCTGCGAATTTCTTTTTTTCTTCTGCGTTAAATTTAGCGGGCTACATTCACAAACTTACCAATTGTCTCCTTTTTCACTAATGATCGTAATGTCCCGCAGGACTGTAATGGTTTGGTATCATGAAACGCAAATCAATTGGAATGTTTATTTTTCTTGGAAACTTTTTATAACACGGAATGTGCCAGAAAGTGGATCCTGTCTGAGACATAATGCGTATTTTCACGCTTAGCGTCACTATCACACGACCTCTGCGGGCATATTAAGGTTACTGTGAACACGCAGTTAGAACTGCGGTATATCTAGCCATAACTTTGTGGCATTTGTCGTTTGACGACGGCTGAAGGTTTGACTTTATAAAGTGAATACGCTGTAAACAAGCGACGAACCTTAGCCGGCTCTATTTTCGCTTTTGGTGGTTCCTAGAGCTATTGTTCTGACAGAATGTTAAGTTGGGCTAGTTGGTTGTTCATGACTGGAAGGAAGTGCCAAAATACAGGGCTTCGGCGCTTCCTTCCAGTCAGCTATTGTTCTGACATCGCTTTCAGAGCGATCGCCGCACAGCGAATTTCGTCTTTTGATTGCAACATATTCTCCTCGTAGGGTTCGGTCTTAAGGCATTGTTGTATGAAAAGGTTAACATTTGTAGTGCATGCTCACGTCTCGGATTCACCAAGACAGCAAAAGACGGCTGTCTCTACTGTCTTGACAGGTTTTCAAAAGAAATGGAGGCGGAAGCCACCCCTCCAAATTAAAATAAAACCACGTAGTTTCGCAAGTCCAGGCACTCTAACTACGCAAAATCTGTTGCGCCAAGCCCATTGAATTTACGCAAAGAAAAATGCATTCCGTAGTAAAGTATTTGCAGAGATGGTGCTTGTGAGCAGACTATTCTAGAATGTGGGGTTTACTGTCAGCAAGGACACTCTCCTTCATGCAACAAACTTCCTGCATGTGGCGAATTAAAAGCGTAAAAATTAATGGAACCCCAAAACTTCCTCAGAGGAATCGGTGGCCGACTGTGTTAGCGCACACCAGCCCAGAGAACGTGGAAAGAAAGCTCGCGCTGCAGATTAAAAAAAATCCTGGGTTCAATCCCAACCCCTGCCCATTCTGATCTGCCGTGCCGTCGTGTACAAGCGTGAGGTTGTACCAGCGCGCGGTCGTGCATCGCTACTGCGTGATGCACGTCAAAGACCCCAGGCTAGGTGTTGTACTGCACTGGCTAAATTTCTCAGCAGCCGCTGTGATACCAGACGTCCACTGAGGCTGACCAACGTCCGGCTCTACAAGTAGACATCAGGGCTGACCAACGTCCGGCTGTACGAGTGTACACACAACAAAAATATTATTATTTTAATTTTGTGAAAAAGCGGCTGGGTCTAGGAAACCCTCATTAGAGTGCCTACTGGCAATTTCTATTCTATTAGAAGGGACTAAACCACTCGGAAGTTCACTTAGAAATTAATGCTGCTGTCGTCTCAAACTAAGTTCTTGTGGCCATTTTCAAGGTTAAAAAAAATGCTTTCACGAAGGTTTCTTTTGTTTTTTATGGGCTTTTTTGGCGAGTGGTTAGAACAACCACCTCAAAGTGCGCCGGTTTCTGTAGCGTATGCGAGAAAATTAATCCGGACGCTGTGATAGATTTGTCCTTCTTTTCAACAGAATGCAATAAACCAACAAAGGGCAACAAAAAATATTGCTTTAATACACGACCACTGCACGATCGCACAGCTACGCCACCCGGCTACACTAGCAAAAAAAAATGCTACAGTGATCACCAACATGTTGGATCGACGGTGTCGCTCCCTAACCAAATCAAACGACTACTTTCCGGGAAATCCACTAGTAGATAAGCCAACGTAGCTGCAAAATGCACCCATGCTTTTGGGGACAATTAAGGTGGCACAAACAGTCGAATATAAAATATTTTATGGCAATATAAAACTTTAGATCGAAAATTTTAATAAAAAAACAATGATTATACACCTGTATATTCAACGGCACTACGCGCGGTGGTGAAACATTTCGTGGCATGGGCGCTTTTTTTTAAATTGCGCTGCTGCTTCTTCGAGTCAAGATAAATATTATAGTAAATACTATCATTGTGACCCCATCAGGGTTCACATGTTAAGGCGAAATTGTAACTGGAGTTTTTCAAACTATGAATTCTTACTGTTGGTGCTTCTAGTTCAGCTAACGCGCATTTCAATTATCTTCTATTCAAATATTTTTTTGAGAATCTAAGATAATGTTTGGTTGTAAAATTGTTTTACAAGCATTGTTATCAAAAAAGAAACTTGAGGAGCTCAACAACAATGTTTTCTTAGGAAATGTAGCTGGCGAGGGCTAAAAGCAGGTAACATAAACGGCCAGTATGCTGTTGTCTTTTTTGTTTCTAAAGGTAAATATTTAAACATGTTTTGAAGAAATTACAAATTAATTTCGGTAAGAGAAGAACAACATATTGTGTTAATTGCCATCACTCTTCCCTACAACATCCTGATGCTTCATGGATAACATGGGCACGTGGTAAATCTAGAAGGAGGCGTAGTGAATAAATCTCAACCGGTGCTGGTAGAAATTCATCACGCTGTTAGAATGACACCTAGTGAAGAAGTTACTTGTGAGCTTTAAGTAGTTTTTTGAGTAAATATTCGGTAAAATGTTGAAGTTAATTATCGCACAAATAACTCGCGCATTTAACAACTTTTTTTTAATTTTAACTGGATTCATGGAAGCATTCTAAAAGAGACCCCACATTTGTTTTAAAAAATCTTCAGAATCATTTTTTTTTGCTGTGCGACTTTAGAGTCTTTTTTTCTTTCCTGCGTTTCGATTTTTCAGCGAATGTTGGACGGCGATTGGCGGCTTTGAGGTAGGTTTCTGACAGACATCTTCTTGGATGGTGAGTACCATGGGTTAACTTTAGTTAAAATATTGCGTTGTCAAGTTATCTCAAATGGTTTATCTGTTTTCAGAAATCTTGTAGTATATCGTGAACGTAGCAGAGATGCGTGAGGCGTTTCGGGGAGTTTTCTGAAGTCAGTGTTCGATATTACCCATTGGGCTGTTTCGCTTGCCGTTTTGCGCCTAAGCAGGTGCACGTGATGTTTGCATTATAAAAAGAAATATCAAATGGCACGTGTTAATTTACCAATACGTGTTCTTTTTTCACAACATGATTCCTCGGCTATTGGACACTCTTAGCATACAGGTGCTGACCCTACATATTGTTGTTTAGTGCACCGAATCCCATATTCATCAGAATGCCGTAGCGGTTCAGTAAACAGAGCCTCCATGCATTATCTCTGCTACACTTTTCTTCTGAAATCTTCAATATAATTTCACTCTACATCTGAGCGCTTCTCTTCTCAGATAGTTCCCGCATAAATGTTTGAAGGTGGAGAGTTCTTTCATCATTATGATCTTATCGCGTCAGCATACTACGCACGTCGCCCATCTCAGAGAAATCGGAGTGTCTAGGATGCCACTTTAATCAATAAGGTTTGCTTTTAGTGACGAAATGTCTTTCTTCGAGCAACAAAAGTAATAACATGAATGTACGCAGACGGACAATACCTGGAACTTTAATTCGACGGACAAAAATGTACAGTGCCATGTGAAAAACTGCCATCTTTAAGTACACTCATAAAACGCTAGGTTTTATGTGGAAAATGATGTGAAGAGCATGCTAGTGATGGTCAGGTTATTTGAAAAGAGAATATAAGAGCACGTGTTGACGACTTCCATGTTTATTTCTTCTACATACCTTGTTTTTTATAAGATGCGCGTATCATTACGTTTAGACGGTATGCTGGTCTTATAAATTTTGGAATAGTTAAAGGCGGACAAGGTACGTATTCTGTTGAGCTTCATCCATCTTTTTGGAAGCGGCGAACCACACGCAGCTTTCAAAAACCAGATGTCTAACATATCGCACACCTTGACTACAGGAGACGGCAGCAGCTGCACTGATTTCAAAATGAGTGGACCTCCCTTTTTCTTCTCAGCTAGCCAATTGCAATAAGTCTCGCCTTAAAAAAACATTTATTGAACTTACGTTTTTTTATTTTACGAATTTTCTTACATGTGATTGGTTTGAGCATCTCAGCAACGGTTTTCATTAAAGTATAAATAGTAGAACCCTCTGCCGTCACAACACATTCTAAAATATTCTTTCAGGCTGAATCTCAGAATGTACTTACAGTCGCTCCTTGCCACTTTCTGTCTTTTAATGGGTAGCTACTCTCAAGAGACAGATCCACTACCAGAAGAAGATCCGAAAAACTTTCCGAATCAAGATGCAAGAAAGGTTTGTTATTCGCTACTACATCCTGACATAAAAAAAAAATTCCAGGTAGTTTTAACACCAATTGTATTAATATTTTATGTTTACAAGCAGCGCTCCTTTCTACGCCAATTAGAATTCAATCACTACCGCTCGAATAAACTATTTGCTAAACCCGTACACAAAGTGTCTTTAGCAAGATGGGATGCTGAAAACTTAATAATGTCTTATATTCAAGTAGATATTGAAAGAACATTCAAATCTAAAATTAAGAATATTTATTAAACAATATGCGCCGTAAAACATGGATGAAAAGAGAGGACCACAACACGAAAAGCTATTTTGAACTGAATGTAATAAACAAAAATTAGACTAATCAAATATTCTTGGAGGTTTGTCGCAGAGAAATTCAAATTCTTTATTTGATATGTGAACAGACGATGCTCTTATAGACTTTTTTTTAATTGCCGTAAGAAGTCGTTTTTGCAATTTACGTCCCCGCGAACTTCCTCTCCAATGAGAGGGCAAACAATCCCCACCATAGCACTGTTTCTTGAAACATTCATGAAATATTTTATGACCAGAGGAGGTCAGCTAAAAGGCCGGCTAGTGAGAGATTGGTCTGATATTATTTATTACTCCTGTAAGAAGACCAATCCCCTCTTCTGTGTTGACTTCGGTTAAAGCGAAAGCTCTAACCCAAGTTAGAGCTTTGCCCCCGCATGAGGAAGGCCTGCAAATGTACAGAACACTTCTTCAAAAAGGTTAATTTTTGGTGAAGGTAGCCCGCTCCAGGCCCCGCCCAGGGACCTAACTAGCTCGCTCTATTTTTCGGCTCTCGTTGGTTAGAGAGATCATTGACGTGTGGAATGTTCGTTGTAAAATTGTTCTCAAAGCCTTGGTAGTCTTTTATTTGACCTTTTATGTTTGATCAACAAATTATATAGATAGATCCATTATTGTTTTCAAAAATATCACAAAATCGTCTGTTCCGTTTTGTTTTTAAACAATAACAAACTTGGCTGCCAATCGTTTGCGGTGAGTGTTTGGCACAATGCGTAGCTCGTTAAGCTCGCCGCCTGCTTTCAGGAGTGCAAGTTGTTTCGCGTTCACCTAGGGGTTTAGCGGAAGATAACCTGGACCGACGTAGTTTGCAGCAAACAACTTTTGCAAGCACACGCCTTCGGAAGCGATGTGTGGGTGTCTGTTTTCGTAGCGCGACAGGCGTAAGCCTAGCGCCCCACGTCAACTATTTTCTGGATCTGGCTTAATTTGTTCGCTTGAGGGGTTTTGGTGCTCAATAAAAGCGTCATTTACCCTAAAACCCACCCCGCTACTCTGAGAATCGTGCATCTGTCGTGAGTGCGACCATGGTTTCGGTACTCAGAGGTAACCTACACAGGAAAGCATTTGCGAGCTATTTGGCAATCAGGTGTTCTTCTTGCGTCAGGTTTGTCAAGGTATGCTTCCGTCCCTTCGCTTCGGAGGGTACTTATCTCTAAAATGTTTAACAGTTCACCTGAGTTGCTAAAGCGAACATTTTTAAGTCGCAATTCAATTGTTCGTCATGATGCTCACCCTCCTTGCTCGCGGACGCTATGCAGAAGAACAAGAACAGGAAAGCTAAAAGGACTGCATATTTTGTTGATTTTTTAGTTCATGGTCGCTTTTTACCGCACATCGACAGACACTGACAGACGCTTGTATTAGATGTGGTTCGTGCATGCTGGAACAGTTCAAGGCCGTTTCATGGTCGCGTACGGCGCAGGAGTCTGGCGATCTTTGCTGACGGATTTAGACGTGAATGAACTCGCAGACGGACGCAATCAACGGCGGATTCGGTCGCGCCTCTTTCATGGTCGCGTCTTACTATGGTTCCTGGAGCGCACCTTTGACTGGTGTGCTAAGCGTCCTATGCTGCCTATACATCAATAGTTGTCCCGAAGTGACATTAAATAACGTAACGGAAGCTGTAGTGTCATGCTAGAGAGCCTGTATTACTGAGAGTTTCTAACCACTCGATCGCGGTAACTTGGTTCATGGGCCGCGTTTGCAAGACGAGCTGCGAGGTGTTGAAAGCAGTGAGCGTCTGCAAACGACTCTGCCTTTCCGCCTAGCAGACGGTGCGCACGGCAGACTAGAACGCACCGGAAGTCGCGACATGGAGACATCCGGCTTGCGAGCATGGTTAGTTGAACAGCGAAGCCAATCCAGTTGTAGTGTGTGGGGCACCGAGGTAGGAATAAGGGCCGACATACCGGCTCAAGCCAGCCGTACCAGAAAATCCCAAGTCAAGCCGGAATTAGAGGTCGCTGCCGGTGGGAACGCCCGCAAGGTCGCCCGGTTGTGTTTATGGTGGTGTGATTTCGCCTCCAAAGGCTTCTTACATCCATGGTGTGGGACCACCAATCTATGGGCAGGGCCTAGAGCGGGTGGTGAACTCCACCTAACTTGCGCCTAACATCGTAACTATTGCGCAACGAATTTTTTTTCACGGGAAATGAAGGCCAAATAATACCTGCCTTATTTAAGCCCTTTAATTTCTTGGTATTTCATTGTTTTCTTTTATTACACACGTAAATATATACAGTTCAGTAGAGCTGTGCAATGAATAATAAGTTTACATTATTATGCACAAACATCAAACCATGCACCATCCGTCTATTACACAGAGGTTGCAAGCCCAATCAGTTTACGTCTTCTTTTCTAGTCATAAAACAAATTGAATTGCACGTAACGATCACAGAAGAGAGATATAATGTTTTGAACGCGCTCAATACTGCATTAGTTAGTCTCTCCATAGCTGTTCCATACAACTGAAGGCAACTCAATGCAGCTTCGCATAAGGGAACTTAATAACATTAAAACACAGTGGACTTTCAAAATTACCCAAAATACGCGTATGACACAAAAACCCTTAGAGATGAGTTGACGGTATTTTTAACCTGATCACTCAAATCAATTGTATTGTTTCAATAATATATATACACCCAAAATTCATCATCACCGGAACACAGCTAATACTAGTATGTGTCTAGAACATAGAAGAATCGCAAAACATCACATATTCTGCTGTTTAAAGAATCGTGTATCAACTAGCCAATTTCTCCATTTTAAAAATATGTGATATATTAACGTTAATGAACGCATTGTGTAAAAGCCTCTCTACACGACGAACAGTGCCTCCTTGGAGCATTTTCTGTACATTCGGAGCGAACTAATTCTGCGTTTTAATGCGTATACCTGTCTTATTTGCTCTGTAATAAAATTTTAGAAAAACAAAGTTCATTCAGGAACGAAACGTGCCTTCCTTCGATAAGTCTCAAACGCTTTAATATGTTCGAGAGGAATCGCGGTTTTTCTTTCGTTTCGAGTTTAAGTCTTCTGGTTGTTAACCATATATAGAACACAACTAATAAATAGATAATTTCGGACCCAGCTCGAGTGCTTAAACTATTCATATTCCTTTTATTAAAATTTGAATAAAATGGCGATTGTCAAGTCATCGCACTTATCTTCTATTCTACTCGTTCTTTGTTAATCTTGAGTGCAAAAAAAAATAATAAAAGACAAAATTTGTTTAGAGCGCAGTTCTTAGGCGCCTGTTTCTGGCTTGAGTGGCGCCGGCGTCGCCGTCGGCGTTGCCGTAGCCGTAACGCGTCGTCGTCACCGTCGCCGTCGGCGTAACCGCGCGGTGCACTAAAAAAACGTCCCATAATGCACCGCGGTGATGCGCGAGTTGCATTATGGGGCGTTTTCCATAATTCACCACTCGGAAGGGGGGAGGGGGGGGAGCAAGGAGAAAGAGGAGGATGGAGGAGGAGCAGGAGGAGGGAGGACGAGGAGAAAGAGGGATGAGCAAGAGGGAGGAAGAAGAGGGGGGATGAGGAGGAGGGAGGAGGAGGAGAGGGGAGGAGGTGAGGAGCACGGGAGGAGTTGATCAGGAGGGAGGAGGAGTGGGTACGGATGAGGGGGAGGGGCATATCGTCCCCTCCGTACCCTCCCCTCCTCCTCCTCAAGAGCTGCGTTCTAATTCGGCATTACAGGAAGTTGTAAATCTTTCATGTTTTGGAGTTATGAATACGTTAACTTAGCGTTACGCCAAATCATTACTGGATCTCAAGAGCTTAATACCGAGTTGATTTAGCTGTTGCGTTGCCTTTAACCGCCATCAGAGTGCGGGACTATCGGTTTCAAACGTGGATAATAGCCTACTGAGGGTAGGAATTACTTTTTTTTTTTTTAAGTGGCGCTTCTAGCTGCTCAGTTACTCGAACGGAAGTTTTTCGTTTTAACATTCATAATCTTGCAAAAATTAATTTTTAAAATACTACAAGATATATCACACACACACAAAAAAAAGATCAGTTTTGGAACACAGATTTAGTGGCCTGATGTTTTGTTTCCGCATAGAAGCTCAAAGGGAAGCTTTTTAGTTCTAGGTCTGTGCTTCGCAAGATTATATCTACTGTCATTCCCGTGGCGCTGGATTCGTTATGACTAAAAGTCTCAATAAACACAAAAGGTATGTATGGGAAAGGGTGACAGTTATGAGGCTCAGACGTCATTCCCTGAAGCCTAATAGACAAACGAAATCACCTAAAAATAAGAAAAGTAAGAACATATTGTTTGAAATGTGATTTCTAAATCAGAAGGTTTTTCTTTTTTTAAGCTGTCACCTGCTGCGCTTACGGTAGCAAATGCAATGACCAAAGCAGAGCATTAAATTGCGTTTGTATCTTCGTCGTTTAAGATTTAAAAGTAACGTTTGACTGATCTGAACCTAGATTCGTGTTATTATGCCCTAAAACCCTCGATCAATGTTAGTAAGAGTAATAGTAATATTTATATTGGTTCAGGAGAGCCGCGGCGCCGCAGAAAGGCAAGTAGCCCATACGATGAAGGTCTGCGGCACTGCATCTGATGATGATGATGATGTGGTAAGATATAGTGCAGAGAAGCAAGATAGCTGCTGACGATGTTTAAATGAAGCTTCTGAGCGAGGGTGAGGGGATGATGGTAGATATTCAGCTACCTAGCTATCACAAAGCTATAGCGCTGTTTTATTTTTAGTATTTTTATAGAGAAAAGTTAAAGCCTAAATGAGAAGCCAAATTCAGAATGTACCGGGAGTAATGTGCTTTGTGGAGCGTATCTTACGCGAAGACCAAACCGGTATTCCCGTAAGGTATGTCGTGGCAATTGCCTCATTTGTGTTGCTGCTTTTTGCTAAATTATACTTAGTTGTTAATATAACATCGTATGTAACTGGGGATGCGAATAATAGTTCAGATCTCAATAACTGACGTGTCTACAGGAAATAACCTTCGTCGTAATAAGGTTCTTGCTTTCAGAGCCGTGTCATACCCGTGCTCACATACGTGAAGCATTTAGTGTCGTTTGTTGTTGATATATTTTAGTTGGCTGAAGACTATGTGTCTGGAAAGCAATGGGTCAAGTGGAGAACGTACACTGCGACGACGCCACCAGGAGGGTATAAATGTGAATACGCTCAAATTGTTGGTGGTGCTGACGGTGAGGGAGAGAAAAACTACACCTTGGAAGTAGGAGGCAGAATTGGAGAAACGTAAGCCTTGCACTCAATTTATACTTAATTTATTTATGTAGGAACAGGCCTGTACGCTAATAATATAAAGCTATCAAATTCCTTCCAATCGGTTACTTTTCAAAGTAAATAAGTAATCATTGAATCACTCTTATTAGGTAGAAATCACCAGAGTAATGATATTATTTTGAAAGCAAGGATAATATACTTGTAACCATCACAATTTCTTCCCCAGCCCCCTAGGTTTTCTGGTTTACGACTACTCAAACGACACATTCACAAGTACAAGTGCTAAAATGTGTCCACTTCGTCATCTTTCAAACCTTCCGAACTACAAAAAAATAGTACGATTGCTATCGAGCTCTACGAAGTAATGTCGCACTCTTTCTCTGAAAAACATGTAGGAGTTTGCAGGATTTTCAGTGGGAACTGTAAGCTTCTTTTATAATTAAAAAAGGCCTCTCAGTGCGATGTTCGACGGTTAATCTAGTATCCGCGTCTTTATCAGCCGTTCAAATAATTAGTATCTCTCTTTAAAAAAGTATAGATCTGGATCAAAACGCCTTACCTTTTCAACTCGCAAGATAACCAGTAACAGGCAATGTGAATGCTGAAGTGTGACCAAAAAAGTGATATATTTGTCTCATCCACATAAGTGGTTGGCGCACCAGAGAAATCAAAAGGATGACTAGTACGCTGATTCTAATATATAAATGCACGGGACAATGCAGCCCGATTTTGAACTCGTCAAAGAATTGTAAATACGTTTTGTGTGACATCTTAGAACAACCCTTGTACAAACATTTATTCATATTTTTAATTTTCTCCTAAGACTTTTTTATGACGAGGCTAAGTTAATTATATATTGACAATATCAGTATGAAAATAAGTATATGTTTAATGTGCAAAAACATTAGTATTACCTAGTAGAGCTTAGAAGTTGAACGCCACTTTGTTCATCAGGAAAGGATCGAGATTTTCCCGGTTGAATTGTCAGGAACATCTCCCAGAAATCTCGCAGCTATGGAAAACGGTGTTCCGATTCAGAGGATGTTGATGATGATGACAATGATGATGATGATATTAATAATACTATTAATAATAATAATATATTGTTCTGGTAGTGTTTTATATTTTATATAAAATAATATATGAAATATATTACGTAAAATATAAATATATATTATTTATATATTTTGGTTTTTATTTTAGTGTTCCAATAAGTAAACTTATTGGAACACTAAATAATGAACCAAGGCATCGACCCAATACATCAAAACATTGAACTGTTTCGCCCTCACACCGTATGGGCACTATGAAAACAAGAAAACTCAGCACATTTTATCAAATCGCTTCCGCCGCATAATCGCAAAGCAAAAGTCGAGCTTTTTCCCCCATTCGCAGCCGCGAGTGGCAGCGAAGGAACTACAGCGGAAAGCTTACATGACCTGACTCGGCTCTAAGCTGCAGCATAACGCCCATTACTGTCAGCAGAGAAAGGGAGAGGAAGCGTCCTCCGAGAGAGCACACGGAACCTACACGGCACTCCGAATTACGTCACTAAGAGTAGGACTAGATGTGAACCTGAAGACTGGGAGTGAGTTGAGGGGTGCCAGAAATGCCAATATTTATCTTTTTCTTACACAACAACTAGGACACGCAGGCGAAATCGGTGTTCTGTTCTTTACTTTAGAAGTGTAAGAGGACAACTTCCACAAATGTTTGACCGAAGTTCGGAAATCGTTGCACCCCCCTCCCCCTTTCAAGGTGAAGCTCAAGCGTCCTCCAACTTTCAGCAGTGACACTTTTAGATGTGATTTGTTTATGTGACTACTTTCAGCTCTGAGCCGATGTGATTACAAGAGGTAGATGATACCGCCCGTCTACGTGCTGCCATTTTAATAGAACAAGAAAACTAGTACGCTATCGTTCTCTTTGCTCAACTCACTCAGGAATTAACCTGGCTCAATAGGTCTCTAAAGAAACAACCAGTCAATTTGACAGTTATCGCTTTCCTGTCGATTTTCATTACACCACTCTAAGCAAATACTTGTATCGTAATGGTGATAATTCTTTTAAGGCGAAAATCCCGAGCTCGCAGTTTTATCTTTGGCAGTTGTTCATGCTCATCCAGAGTGCGCACAGCCGAGATGTATCCTCGAACGAACAGCTCTCACTTGCAGCCTAGGAGCGGAATTGTTGTACATTACAAAAAATAAAGCGAAACACACAATTAATCTATGTGAATACGTTAAAAGGGCGGGGCTATTGTAGGTGTAAACTATATGAATATGTTAAAAGATCAGTGTTACTTTTTGTGTGATAGTGAATAGACAAGATGAGGTCAATATGGCGCATGCCATTTCTAGCGATTGTGACTTGGGAACCGGGACTCGTAGCAGGTTGGGCCTGCGGGCAGCGTATTTGAGACCCCTGTTTAGAGGTTATACACATGTTGTTAGAGATTTTTATTACATGTAAAATAAGGTTCGAATGAAAAGCAAACAGTGACGGAACGTCAAGCGCACCACCGGCACAGCTTGGAAGATTGGGTTGTGCAGAGCGAGGTTCGAAGACATCAGAGTAGTACGCACACCCTCTCAGCGCCCTACTCTCCACCCTACAGTTTCGCCAGTTTCAAGAGGCCTTGAGGAAGCGAAGAGTTGGCCGACGGACGCGCGCTTCAGTTTTCGCATTTAATTTCAAACCGATAGTACGGCATTTCAATGCGCCACACGCTGTGGTTCCGGTGAGCCTCATGTTCAGGATGCTTCGAACTAAGGGAGGGCCTAGGTTGGCACGTCAACAATAAGTGAGGAAACGCGCCTTAAATATAATTTTAGAGGATACGATGTGGAATGTGGGGCTGATCATTGCTTTGCCGAGCTTAGTTGTGTAGTCTTGAAAAAATAAATAAGAAGGTTGCCCTCTGGCTTAAGTCTTGGTTGGGGGAAAAGGGCGTCGGTGTCTGGAGATGCCGCAGACACGACTCCTCACACTGCGGAGAAGCCCTAGTAGATATCCGCGTTGTATGAAAGATATAGTCGATGTCATCGCAGAAAATCCTGTTGAGGCAGAGAAATTGTTAGAGAGGATTGAAGTAAATTTGGGATATGTGTTCTTTCGAGGAGTTGGAAAGGAAGTTGTGGCTCTCGGTAGGTTTATGGCAGACTTGTGCCCGTTACTTTAAAAATGTAATGGAGTACAATAACAAATGATTTCCGCTGAAAGGTAACGAATTATTTTATTTGTTACGCTACAGATTACTTTCACGTTACTTTTCCCGTACACTTACTCAAGAAACAATAAAAACTTTCAGCCTTTTCACTCTGGTGAAGAAGAAAGAGCAGCAGAGCTGTAGTATGTGCCGCCATTTATTAGCGATGGCGGACAACCACATAACCGGCAAACCAGTTGTCTGGTTGCTGCCGTCGCTCATAGATGGTGGTAGCTGTCCAGAGGGTTGTGTCCAAATTTATTTGTCCATGGACATAAAACTGGGGAAACTAGCCCTTAACAACTCCGCTGTAAAGCAATGTGTATGTTTTCAAAAAAGTTCTGCAACACTACTTTTCATTTTTCAAATGCCGGTATTATTGTAGTCCTTATAAAAATTAAATATTGAGTTTAATAGAAAAAAAAATGTAGGTGTACTCCGCTCGCCTGTAAGCTGATGAAGCACCGAAAGCTGCAACCACACCCGCCATCCCGCTAACTTACGGCGACGGGAAATGATCCCTGGAATTCTGCAGACAAAGCTAGCGGTGCCCATGCTCAGTAGCAGCTTCAACCTACGCTAGGAAATTCGGTGATTGGGAACGGATTTACCAAAGTCCGCTTTTAGAACGGTCCTTTCAAAATATATATATATATATATAAAAAACTAAACACGAAGGTTTTTTTGTTTTTTTCTCTCGGCCAAGGAGAAGAAAAGCGCGGTGGAAGCTGATGAAAAGAGACAGAGCCTACTCGGCGCTGTCCATTCTGAATCTTTTTTCTCTCGCATATTTGTATATGCATTGCACGTAGTTCTGTGACCCTAATGACCGGTCATCCAAAAAAATATTGCTTTCTTTAAGGTTATTCTCCTCTTCACAATGTTGTCTATTTTTATGAACTTGCTACCAATATGCTGCTGAATTGTCTGCTCACATTGCTTCCTTTTCTGTATCATATTCTTATTTTAAAAAGTGACAAGTAAGTACTGTAATCCATTACCAATATTTGTGCGAAATTAAATTACAAATTATTGCCGCAAAAATTACATGGCAATTGAAACATTACTTAGAAAACTAAGGGATTCCTTCCCAAGTCTGGTTTGTAGTGTACGGAAGTGCCAAACTTCTGGCCGTCAGTATTGATATTTAGGTGTAGAAATTTCTCTTATGACTTCAAGATACGTGAGGTAAACTGAAAGGAGGTGTGAGTGTAACAAAGCAGATTGGTCATGCGGTCAGCTATGAAAAATGGGCCAAATAAAAACAAATATATATATTTTCACTTTAGGAATTATAGAATTATGGGCGAGGGTGAGGAAAGATGTTAATCAAACGGAATTTCGATGATCTGAATGTAAGGGGGCAAAAGAGGTGGTCATTATTAAGCATGACAAAAACCCTCGAGATTGCTGGTAAAAACTACACACGCACTAAAATGTCATTAAAATAAACCTTTCAGTGTATGCGCCGTTTTTATCCGCAGTTTCTGGGGGTTTTGCAATGCTTAATACTCTCACATAGGTCACGAAAAGATTGGCAAAGGAGGATCCAGTCATAGTGCCATACCTTTTTAGTGAAAAAAATGAGTTGTCAAATTGGAAAGCGTTCAGTGCAAGAGCAAGTCCTGCGAGGCGAGGTACAACGTGAGACGCACTGGGCGCTCTCATTGGGATACTGGCCAAGGAATTGGTAAAGAGCTGGTAACACTTTGCTATGAGTGTTTGCCATGTGGAGAGACGTAATGGCCACTGTGAAGAGGATTGTGTTTCTTGTGTCGTTAACCTACCTGGGTGGGTATTGTAC